CCCTCTGTCGGGAGCCCCTTATATATTATTCTCTTTTGTGTCATAAAAAGTCTCAATTAATGTTCGATTCATGGGTTTCATAACTACATAACCTATGCCGTCTCCATGAATGGAGGTTTTTTAAAGTTGTATAACATTGGATTAAATGTGCCGGCGGAGGTTACATCCATTAATGAGTCGAGTTGATGACCGACTATGGGCAAGTGGGTCTCGGCCACCTAGCCTTATCCGGGTCCACGGTACATATCGGCTGCTACCCGAAGGTGTGATGTTCATCTGATAATATTAGCCGAGATGCACCCTGGGTACCTTTTACCTTTGAGTCAACCACCAACTTCCCTATCCCTTCAGGTGATTTCACTATCCAGTTGGGACTGATATTTCTGGGATAAACATAAGCCCTCGAGTTTAAATCCTTTTTTGTAAGGATGTAGTGTTAGGTCACAAAAGGAACGAAAAGTATTGAGGTCGACACCGGGTTACATCCCGTTATTTATCCTCACATATGTGGCACAAAAGGAAGAGTAATTCACTTTCTCTTTCCTAGAGTAATGATGACTTTCACCTAAACTTTTTTTTTCTTTGGGTGACGTTTCCTTCCACTAGTGAACTATTCATTGGATTCTACTAAAACCCTATTTTCTTCTTTCCTTTTTTATCTTTGATATTCATAAAGGCGTTATATCTTCCAGAAGAAATCGTACATTCTCCCTCAAGTGTGCCTCGATTTTCTAGGTATTTTTCCCTTACCCTTTCATTTTTGCTTTTGCCTTTTAGATAATGGTTATCTTAAGAGAGTGTGATGATGAGGGGATTATTGTAAAACCTACAAATACCAAAGAGAGGAAGGAGTTATGGTACCAGTGCATACAAAAGGTGAAGGGCGCTTTAGGTCAGGAGGAGTTTAATCATATCACAAGGGAAGTTTACAGTTTCACCTTCACCTCTTTGAGTGATTCTGACTACGATTCTTTCTCCTCAGGTTCTGTAGAATTTCTGATGGAAGCGTCTTTCCCCTTCGACCTTGAAGTCATGGGCTACAAGAATAGCATGCTCGATAACACGAAGATCGCAAAACTTCATTCCCAGATAAATGTCTCCTCAACTAAGGAAGAAGGTGATGTTATCCTAGAGTCCGGTGTCTTAGGAAAACGTGTGTGTATACTTCGCATAAAGGCCACTAATGAAGATTTCTTTTATTTTCATGTCGGAGTTTTGGAGGACTTCAGAATCCGTATACCCTTTTCTGAATTTGAGGCTGACATACTAAAGGCCATGAATGTCGCACCTTTGCAAATTCGTCCTAACAGTTGGGGCTTCATAAAGGCCTTTGAAATAGTCTTTGAGGAGATGAGCATCGTCCCCGCAGTGGATTTATTCTTTTCCTTTTATGAGGTAAAAGGGGTCGAGAAGCTTTCTTGGATCCAAATCAACGGTCTTCCCCACAGGAGTTTTCTCCAAGTGTATACCTCCAACTATAAGGGTTTCAAGGATCGATTCCTGAAGGTAAAATATGGGCCGAGATACCCCCAGGTTTTGTACACCTTGGGCGAGTACCCCCACTTTCCTTTCTACTGGACAAGAGATCCTTCCCCCATATCCTTTTTTTACTTTTGAAAAGTCAAGTGAATTGGAAGTACATGCTCTGACCGTACTCGACACATTTCAAATGATGAAGGTTAAAGATCTGTTGTCCCTAACCGACGAAAAGATTCATGACTTGGTAATAACTTTCATTTTTGGTTTAGCCATCACACACATTTATTGATAATACTCATACTGTCTTTTTCTTTCATTGCAGACAAGATGAAAAATCTCTCAGTAGTTGAACAGAAAGGAGCCAGTGGACCCTCTATGATTAAGTCAGACCTTTCCGGGTTAGAAACTTGGGCTTTAAAGAAGCGTAAGGTGACAGGCTCTAAGGCTACCTCAAGCGTGGTCGAGCCCCAAGTCCATGTCTCATCCATCCAGGAGGAGGTTCAACAGGGCACTCTAAAGAAGCTGAAGACCCTTATGAGCGACGAGGCTTGTCGGGCCGATTTGGAGATAACTTCTCTGATGAGAGAACCAGGGGACAGTCAGGCTTATGGGAAATTCAAGTTCTAGTCGAACAACTTTGATGGGCTATGCTTTCTCTATGATCATCTTAACGCAACTGAGGATGTCAACAAGGTCAAGACCATAGATCGACAGAAGATGACACAAAACCTCAGTTCTTGCCTTATAAGGTGTGCAGTTCTGACCCGTGGTCTTTTTGAGTCTAGTGATGATTGTGAGAAGACGAAGTTGAAGCTCAAGGAGAAGATAACCCGACAGAAGGAGGTTCAGAAGGCTCAATCCGAGAAGTTGTCCGGTGCAGAGAAGAGTTTGGCTAAGGAGAAAGGGCTTTGGGAGACCCTAAAGTCCGAGAGAAAGGCTTCTCTAACCCAGTTCAATGAGAGGTATAAGGTGGAGAAGGCAACCAATGACGAGCTGAAGGTTACCACTGACGAGCTGAGGAAGGCTCTCAGGAAGTCTCGAGTGGATATTCTCTCTGCTGGTGATGAAGCTTATGAGCGGGCCAAGGATCAGATTTTGTGTCTTCATCCCGGTTTGGCCATACTAGAGATAAAATAATTTAAGGTGGTTCAGGATGACTTCCTTGTAGATCTCAAAGAAGTGGAAAAGACTCCCTCTCCTCAATCGAATCCTGAAGATCTTTCTGCCGAGGAGAACATCAACAATGATGGTGACAGAAAGGGGAACCCGACTGCATGATGCTTTTTGTGTTTTTATTAGTCATATGTTAAGGAGGCAATTATGTAATTTTTTAAGGGAGTGGTTTGTCCTCCTTTTTTATTACTTTTTTTGATTATTTCCTTCAGGATCTTGTATTTTGACTGCCCTTTTGTGGCTTTACGTAACCATTACTTTCTGCCCGTTTAGCTTTTTGAAATAATCTGGTGTTTCTGCTTGCATTTTTAGCTTTTGAGATAATCTGGTGCATATATATAAGCCCCTTGGACATAAAGTCCATCGGGCTTTATGTGTCCGATCATGTAGTGTCGGGCATTATTTTAAGATCCCCATAAACTTTTTTCATGACCTCCATTTTGATTTTTCTGAATGAATTTCAGCCTCAGGAAGGTCGTGGATTTAGAGGTATGAAAGCCTTCCCGTGTGAGGCTGGGTGTTTATTCACTTGTTCATTTTTCAGGCTAATGAGCTCCATGTGAATTTGTTATGCTTTCAAAATTTCCTCATTGGGCTCCATCCATTCGGTTTAAAGTTCGTTTGTTTTGGAATCCTCGGCCCTTATATATGGGGAGTTTCAATAATACTCACCCCTTTGCCTGAAGGCGAGGTTGACCGAGTTTCCAGATGCTTAAAGTTCTCTTGGACTTTTTTTCCGGTTCAGATCCCTTTTGCATGAAGGCGAGGTTAATCGAGTTATTTCACTTTTCTATAATAGTGATCACAAAGATCGTTTTCACTTTTTTATCACATGAAACAAAAGAAAGGTAAACAGTTAATATAATCATCAATAACTTTGAGTATGAGATTGTTGGCTCCCTAATTCGACACTTACTATATTTGGTCTTTTAGACCAAAAAACTGGAATAAGTCAAGCCAAGCTGAAGAATATTTTGACGTATGAAATAACTTAGAAAAAGATCTAAGTTATATTTGAGACTTCGACCAAGACCCACTTTCAAGATTTCGACTGAAGAGGACTTATGACCTTCGACTAAGAGAAAATACCCTTGCTTTGGCATAAAATACGAGGGACATTTGAATTTGAATTATTGGAGGGAAAGACAGTTTTGCTAGCGGCTAAAGAGAAGCAACGTGGCTGGAAGCTAGAGGTCGAGGGACATGCAGAGGAAACTTGTCTTCATCTTAGCGCAGAACCATCCCTCGACGGTTACTTAGTTTTTAGTATAAATTAGGAAATCTGTGTAAGTTTTTGGTGTGTTCAACCTATTGTGCTAATCACTCAAACATTGTCCAAGTAACCGCTGTGTGAGAAAGGATAAAACTGAGGAATGTACGTTGGAAACACCTTTTTTCATTAATGAAATTCTTTTACATTGCTTTATTCTTCTTTTGCAAAGTTACCTTTCTTGTATCTTTACCTCCATTTCTACATTTCTGTCTACTTTCTTATTTTCCAAAATCTCAAGTATCTTTTCTCC